TGAGAAGACATGTTTTACCAACAGCACCATCACCAACCACAACACACTTGATCGTTTGCATCGCCTGATAATCCTAAAAGCAAAGGCAGACAGTTTTAATTATGGCCAAAATTGGAAGTGTGCTGACCACGAAGCGTAAGTGATTTAGCTGCTGATCAGCAATCTTTGGGCCACCTTTCCAATGCAATTTCCGAAATATCATCTCGTGAAAAGGCGTGAAAAGCGTCAAGTTAATGTGATTTTTTGCCAGTAATAATCAAATTGCTCAAATTTTACCAAAAAAAAAATTAAGTACAATGTAAATTTATCAATTTATCCAAAATTGTACGCATAAGGAGGATGTATTTTACCCAATTTATTAGGCGAACTATCAAAAACAGCAAAATCAATTTTGGGGAAGAATACAGAAGAAAACAGGTTCTCAATGATACAAACATCAATGGAGAGACGAATGTCAGGTGTCAGAAGTTCTGTGTAACACATATCCAGCGATGAAATGCGGCCACTTTCTGGCGCAAAAGATATAATAAAGGAAATAATGGATGCCAGGAAGAGAAGCTGGACTGGTCACTCAGCAAAAATGACAGATAACAGATTGTAAATGGGAATTGTAATCCCATTTCTTTTGAAAGTTTTATCTATTAATTATTGTAAGCTTCTCCTAGCCCCCATCCTCCCAAGGGTTGTAAAAATTCAAATTCTGGGTCAGGGCATCGTAAAACCCAACCTTTATCCCCGCCGCCGAACACCTTTGACCCCAGCCCTAAATCCTCACCTCCCCTCCAATAAGTTTATTGTTCTTTGTCTCCACCACATCCTCGACCCCAAAGAAGTGGGATTACAATTCCCATTTACAAGATGGACGAAACAAACACTTTCAAGGCTACTGAGTTGGACAGCCACAGACTGTAATGAAATTTGGCGAATTCAAGCAAGAACTCGAAGCACACCTAACGGACAGGCAGTCTGTTTGTTCATACAGTCACAAATCAGTGACGATAAAAGGTTGTTCATCGAAAAAATGCAAATTTGAAGGAAATCGCAAGAGAATTATGAAATTAGCGGGATGCACTCGCTTCTAAGTTTGCGATAAAACTGAGTATTTGTCACGGCCGTGTGAAGATCAATCTAAGACAAAAAGAATCTTCTTTTGCCTCAAACTGTAAAAGTTCGAGCGAAATGAGGTGAAACTGCCCCTCAGGCTACATTCAGCTTTCCCCATCCCTACC